GAAGAAATGTACTGCCCATCAAAGAAGTATACGAAGTCCTCACATGTGAGGGTCATCCTCTGCTCAGGAGTAAACTGGAGTTCTTAACAAGTCTCAAATACAACAAGTCTGAGTAAAGGAAATAAGGCATACAGCATTTACAACATCTATAAAGTAGTCCTCGAATGTCTAACAAAAACTATAGTGGAGCTCCAAAATAAAGCATAGCTAGAATAGATAGCTGAACACTAAAGTGTGTCGCCATCAACCTGCGACTCTCCGGGCTCCTGGCTCAAATAATCCAAACAAGGAAACCCTCATGTATATACCTTGTATCTCAAATTGAAAATCCCTAAGTACCAATCTCGAAGTCTAATACATGAACAATAAAGAGAAAACAACAATCTCATCTCTACCGATAAACACTGTTAAGTCAAAGTTACAAAGTTACAATAAGTGTCATACCCAGCCTAGGTAGCTATCATGTCCCAACTTTATCAATATGTCGTGTTCCAAACTCAAATGTGTACCATGCTCAAGGTTTAGCAAAAATGTCCAACACATGGACTAAAAGTGATGCATGTCCAACACATGGACTGAATAAAATGCATGTCCAACACATGGACCAAGATGATAAGTATCAGTGATGCATGTCCAACACATGGACTGAATAAAATGCATGTCCAACACATGGACCAAGATGATAAGTATTCAACACATGGATTAATAATAATGTATGCTCAACACGTGGACTACGAACAGAGAAGTGTAATTGTCATTAGCATATGTGGGGATATATATATATACAAATCCCAATCTCGCACGTGATTTAATGTGCGGGTCTAAATTCGTGTCAAAGTCAACTCCCATGTGTAGATAAGTCACTAACATCGCAAGCTAGTATGAGATAAAAAAAAGGTGATCTCTCGAACACGCGAAAAGATCAACAAAGAAGTCAGCATGCACAAAATTGTGCGGCGGTCGACCGCAGAGACCACTCCGGTCGACCGCTCACAACGTCAAAAAGTCGCTGTGTTCAAAACTGAGCGGCGGTCGACCGCAGAGGTCATGCCGGTCGACCGCTCAAAGAGCAGAAGCTCGCGTCCGCTGCGGTCGACCGCGATGCAGACAGAATCCCAGTCTGGGTTTCTGTCAGCTTCGAAACTCATTCAAAAATTTGGGAATTTCTATACTCACCTAACATTAACATTATAATAATGATATATGGCAGTAAACAACAAGTTTAAATAGTTAAAACCTCATTGCCAAAAATCCTAGCTTTTTATCAACATGATTTTTAAATGTTCTTAAACAGTAAAAATAGATTTAACTCTCATAAAAACATTTCAGATCGAGATCTCATTAATGAAAAATCATTTGTGAACTTTTTAAGACTGAAATATATGATTTTTCACATCTTATGCCATAAGGGTCTACTTTATCTACATAAAATATAATTTAGGCTCAATAAACCGGATTAAAACTCAAATCTAAGCATAAAAATGAAAAGGGGTGAAGTTGGGTGAGATGTTACTCGCCTCTGATAAGAACAACGCCCTAGATCTGAAGAAGGATGATCCCTCTCGCTGAATCCACCAAAAATTCGCTGAAAACCCCTTCAAAGCTCCTCCAAATCACCAAAGAGTGAGAAACTAGGGTTTGAGGGGAGAGAGGGGGCTAGGGTTCTGATTTCAGATGAAAAGAGACTCTCTTGGGTTCATTAGATTATATACTAACCCCTAGACCCGACCCGAAACCCGTTAAGACCCAAAACCCAGAAAAACTCTCTGCCTGTTGGGCGATCGACCGCCGCGCCCAGTGCGATCGACCGCACAGCAGGAAAAACATTTCCTGAGTGCGAGACTGATATGCGGTCGACCGGCACATCCCCTGCGGTCGACCGCTCAGAAGAAAAAATGCCAGATAAGATGATTTATGAACCTGCTGCTCACACCACTCAAAATCTCTCCCATATACACACTCGTTGAGTTTCCAAACACTGATAATCACATTCATTATATATATATGATTAATATTTACAAGAAATTATTTATCACTAGAAATTCCATATACTCATTATAAAATTTACGGGGTTCTACAGAGGGCACATAACCCAACTCCGGTCCTCTAACGAGTGTTATTTTGTAGCTCTTTTATACATACAGGGGACCAGTCTTCAAAAAGAGATGAGGGAACACACATCACTCATATCGATCTCAAGGCCCTTGCTAAACTCGGGATTACCCGCTAATCTCGATGTTGGGTCTCAGGACATCAACACAATCTATAAGATCGAAGTTGATCAATAAAATGATAGTGTAGATTATGTAGAGATCATTGCTTTGGTCAGAACAATCTATCATTAATGGACAATTAGTAATTCTATGGAGCTTTCCATAAATAAAAATATATATCTATGGAGCAAAAGATAAGGGTAAAATTACAATAAAGTTCAAGAACTTTTAGCATTTTACAGTAAACTCCCGCTAACTTTTGGAAATTGTAGAAAACCCTAATAAGTTTCACATTTTGCAGATAGCTAGAGCCAAAGGCAACATAAAAAGGCATTTTGAAGTTATTTGCAGTTTAGTGTAATTTACCCAAAAGATAACAGGGTTTTTTGCAAAAAAAAAAAAAAATTTGCGAGTTTAGTGCGATTTTGAAAGTAATTGGAAGTTTACTACAACACTAAAAGTTTTTGGGGGATTTAGTGTAATTTACCCTGCCATTCATGAAGATTACAGTATTAACAATTTGCTCCAAATTTTATGAGTTCATAGTAAGACTTTTTAAGAATATCAGAACAATTTCCGTAGTATGAACATTTCAATTCATAGCCAAGATACTCATGGACTTAAAACTCGTAACCACATTATTATTAATGTTTTGATTATTTTATAAAAGAAGAGATAATGACAAGGTAACATCATCCCTTGTCCCTACATTTTATATATCATAAGAATAGGAGCAATTTTTATACAAGATACATGACATCCTCTGGCTGCATTTGGTTGGGAGAAGGTGATAGAAGTTAGCACCACATTAGTCCCTATCAACTTAGCTGACTCCAACACATAACTGAAACTGTTAAAAATACTTGCTCTCTAAAAAGCAGGACATGTTGGTTGCGCACAAACGTTCTAGAGAAATTTGCCCCTCCATATGATGAGGAGCTAATTGTTAGACCTTCTGTGAAATATAATTTTGACATCGTATCAGAACAGCCAAGATTCAAAAGCCCCCCAACGATACCTATAAAACTGGATAACAAATACTCTTACAAAAGACAAGTTTTTGCCTGTGAAAAAGGTGCTCAACCAGTGATCTACATGATATAATGTAGGTTCCTTAAACATGCGCATCAGATTATAACCCTCGGCCCTCATCAAAACTGTAAAGTCAACATTAGCCAGCAACTCAACTCTTCCAACCAAAAGAGAAGAATAGAGCCCACCATAGGCTTCCTAAAAAACACATATGATGACTAGTTATAGGGATTAAAATGAGTTGAATTTGATAGATATGCTTTCAAAGCCTTTCTTGTGCAAATAGCACAACCCATGTGGAGAGCATGAAGAAGTGGTCCATCATTCACCTTCTCTTCAGCAATAAATCAGTGGCTGAAATTTTCATGCTAAAATTTTACCTATTTTTTCAATGGGAGCCACAAAAAATAAAGAGGGGAAGGTGGAGCAACATTGATGTGAACATTGAAGGTAACCCACAATTAAAGAAACAGAAAAAAGAAAAGAGGAAAGCGAAAAAAGCCCACTCTTTCAAATTACAGGTTTTATATATTCAAAACACTATCCAAATAGCCTTTTGCTATGACCACAAAATTAAGATGAGAGGTATGTTTATTTCTTCTCCTTTCTATGCTAAAGAGCATGAGCTCTTCTAGATAACCTAATTGTATCTTATCATAATAAAATATAGGTGTGTAATCTAACTGCAACCCACATAAAAAATTCAAGAGAAGATCCTCTGGTTGAATAAGAGATGCATGTTGGTTGTGGAGTGTCATTTTGGTAGCCAACCCCTTTTTTCCTTTCTCATTATTACATGCAGCAATTGGACCATTATCTTATTGTGATGATTATTATTATCAAAACAATTAATAGCTTTACTGCTATAAACAAATTTATCAAAACTTTTGGGATTTTATATAATCTTCGCAACTAATAAATGGATATATGCAGTTGAGGTTGCAAATGTTTGTTTCACTGTAATTATAGCCGCTTCACAGTTATATTTCAAAATACAAAAGTTTTTTTTTTTTACATAAACAATATGCAGTCAAATAACACACAAGTCCCTGTAAAGATAGATACAATCACAACAAAAACTAACTACAACTGTTCTTTTGCAAATTACAATTGTATTTGCAGTTATAATGATTCACGGACCAAACAATATATGTCTGATATGTCCATATTCTTCCACAAAGTAAACAGCCATATGAAGTTGTACATATGTGCATAACCCTTCAAAGTTTTATGTGTAATATACTAATATGTTTATCCTCACATTAAATCTGTCAATAAGCATACTCTATTGATATAATCGAGTTGCATATTCTTGCCTAACATGTGAGTCATCATTCAATACCCAAAAGGATCCAAGTCTTGAACTACTAAATCCCAGCTGATTCGATTTTATACATGATACAGGTAGAATGTAGTAAGTAAAGGTCCAAGCACAGTAGAAATCTTGTTAGTTATTCCAGAATAATCTTCTAGAGATCAACAATAACCTACTATGCTGATAATGTCACAGATCATACTAACAAGAAGGTATCAGATAGAAAGATCAAAATGTGGTACAATAATGATTTTGATCACAAATTGCCGTAAGCAAAACATTTTTTTATTATTATGCTACTACTAACTCCAATTTTTCAAAGTTCAGAATACTAACCAAACATTTGATTGATTCAGCAGTTGCAGCCATCCACCCAACACTCTGAAAACAAGGAGATTATGGTTCCTTGCTTGTCAACAAGAAGCACCAAGAAGAGAGCATGAGCAAGACTAATTTTAGAAAAGTCAAATGGAGAACAGAGCAAAGTAATAGATTTAAGAAATATCAAGTCATACAAATACAGATACGTAGAAAGAAATCGATACTACAAGGAAAACCTAACACCTCTGACGAGTCGAGCATCAACAAATAGCCATGAGCCAAATATGACCGCCAGGTGCACATCTTCAAACAAGAGGAAGAATAAAAGGAAAGCAAGAATTAGCTCCTGATATTATTATTCATCTTAGATGAGTTTGCTAAGAATACTTCTAGCTAATTTCTCCAACCAACGTCTTGAAAGCCACACTTAGAGATGGGGCTGAGGGGAGCAACACAATACTGAGATGCCCAGTCAGGGCAGAGAATAGGATAAAGAAAAACTCTTTTAAGAATGAAGAGGGCCAGTTACTGGGTCTCTTCCAGAATTTGCCTCTTTGTGCTTCAAGGAGAGATTGTTGAATTGTGATTCAAGATCTCGGCTTTTACTACGATTATGAGTAGGAGCAGGCTGTGATGGTTGTTGCTGTTGCTGAATTAATAATCGAAGACGAGCAATTTCCCTTTCCAACATCTCTTGCTGGACTGCAATGTACCAAAATGTGATATTATTTAGTAAATGCAAGATGGATAAACTAAGGCACATAAAATGGGAACTATAATAACCCGTGGGATGGAGTAAATTGCAAATACAAATAATAATAAACATTATACGGGAAGGAAAAAGAAGGGAAAGAAAAGTTAGTTTGTGTAAGTCCTTGATAAAGTTGAGTTTCTCTTCAGCAACAAGCCTATCTGTTTGTCTGGATGGTCTGCACCCAGATGAATGACCATACTCTCTAAAATGCAATTATTTTGTGAGATAAATTTGTACTATATATACATCATAGCACACATCGAAAGTCTTTGACTTGGTGCTAATCAGATGGTTTTCTATCAATAAGAATCAATTAAGATGTAATGGATCAGCCATTGTTTTCCAATAAAGATGGTTTGCTATCAGACGGCTGTCTATCTAACTAGGATCAACCATTGTTTTTTAAATAACAAAATAAAAGATGATCTGAACCATCTGTCTTAGGATGTCAATTGGTTGCTAAAGCCAAATGACTATCGTAACCTGAAATTTTTTAAACTTCAAAATAGCTGAAACTAAACCATCTTACGAAAACATCAAAATGTCAAAGAGAACAGAAGCTTTACTGCTGACAGCACCATAAGAAGTGGATATGGATACAAATGGGAGTATTTGATCAACTGCTGGGGCAGATTCTCATTAATTATGCAACATACTTGATGGTGTCTGAATATTCAATGACCTCTACAACTTATTTTCACCAGAAAAAAAGTGCGAAGAAGCTCGGAACCTAGTTATAACTGTTCTGATTAATGAGGAAAGAAATGACATCATAACATTTAGTTAATAGACTATAAAAAAAATTTAAGTCAGATATACAGCTGTAGGAATGGTCCCCCTTTCAAACTATATGCTTTGTTCTTTTCTCTTTCAAATTAGTTGGACCTATAGTTGCAAGAGTTGGTGAAGAAGCAGAGACGCTTATAACTAAAATAGCAACAGTTCTAGGAGAAATATATGCCGCACAACTTCTATTGTGAATCAACTTTATGGTCATGTACTAAAGAAATACCTGATAAATGAATTCTGTAAATGACAAACCAAATAATACTTCTTGATGCCAAATTGGTTTTAATCAAAGACTAGAAAATCTTGTAGACTGCTTGAGCGGTGTATTGAACCAAAGTCGATCTTGCTAGGATATTATATCAAGAGAAGGAGACAAAAGGACTGAAAAGTATGCATCAGAAATAAGAGGCAGGAGCAAACTTCTAAAAGGAGGATGCAGCAACAGTAACTAATAGATACCAAATACTGTCTGATAAGCGGTATCGATATCGAACCATACATGTTCAGGACCAAAGCACCAGCCTTCCTCTAAGATCGTGGGATGCTCAGTATCAGAGATGAACACAGATATCCCATAGATTTCATGCATAAACTATCAGAGTATACCCAAAAGGAGTACATAAAAAATCAAAAGAAAAAGCATACAAAATGCCGAGAGAAAGGTATACTTACGCTTTTTAATGAGATGTTCCTGTGATAGACTGTCAAGTCGTTGCTTCAGAGTTTGATTCTCCATGTTCAATATAAGATTCTGCTGATCCACAAATTCCAGTTCAGCTGAAACCTCCATCCCTTCTGCCTATAAAGTTATTGTTTCAATGTCAGAGAAGAAACACTTTATCTATAGATACCCTTTTTTATTAAAAGTATTCACAAATTTCAGCACTTGCCTGTAAGGCTTGAACATTTCTCTCCAGTTCAGCAATGTACTGAAGCTTACGTACACGTGACCGCTGTGCAAATTGTCTGTGACAAGAAAGATGAGTTTCAGAATAAACTCCAGAATGCTACAAGTCCAAACTTTTTTTTCTCCTTTGCTATCAGTTGAAGTTACATAATTATAACTGTTAAATATGACTGAAGATACATTCAATTAATATAATTAGCTGAAATAAAAAAAGGCATGCATGTCCAGCAGCTCCCAGGCATGCTATCCTTCAAATAACACAATCTACTAGGTGTACTCTTATGTCCTTGTTTCTATTGACTTCTCTTTTCATTACAAGCTCTCAGTGTTCCAAGCTCCAGATTTCCCAGTAAAAGTTCCTTGTTCTTCCCAAAAGGAAGAATATCAAGTATGGGCTTTCAAATTGATTAGACTTATGAAAAATGACAGATTCACAGTGTACCAAAGCCTTCTCAAGCTAGGCACAATGTTCTACTGATGACAATAGTCAAATTCTAAAAAAATTAGCTCAATTCTGACCCCTAACTCCAATCCCCAAGACTGTCTCTGTTGGAACCCTTCCCACCGCTTAGTACCCATCTGCTATGATCATAGAATTTTGAAGCAATGACACAATTAGCTGGCAATTGCCAGGGTTCCGATTCTGATGCTGTGTACTCATGAATATAAATGCTTATCCAGTTAGTGACATTCACAAAGAAAATACTAATGCTATAACCGAAACCGATCTTTCGTCATAATTTATAGAACGGATTGTACTTAATTCCTTCAAAACTGAATGAAAATCAGTGCAAAGCCCACTACTTAATCTGCTTCTGGTCTAATATCCGACTGAGATGCTTAATCATGAGATCCTTCTCAGGTACATTCTAGGTCTTTATCAGATTCCTTCTTCACATGATTTCCAATGATAGAGGATGCCAGCATATCACGTTTCCTCGATTCAACAGATGCACACTCCTATGTATTGGAGATGAAAGACTTCTACATTCATGCAGAACTACAATCATGTTTGTGAGTTAACCAGACTAGCCACTATTGCATTCACAGTATACACATTTGTAAACTGATCGAATTCTTAATATCCCCAACGAACTATGGACCCGAATCCCAATGCTCCTGTGTCTATGTTTCTTTGGAGATAAGTCAACTGCACATGTACATGCAAGCCAACAAAAATGAGGTTTTCCAAAGAAACATATAAACACTTCATGTAAAAGCATCAGGAGAAATTTTGTTTACTAGTGCTGTCTAGCTGTACTTCAGGACAAACTACTTCAATGTGGGAGGTGCCATTGGCCCATTGTGCATGTGCACATGGTTTTTGTTTCCATAGGCATAAAGCAACTGTGGATCCTTAGTTTTGACAGATCCAACAGTCTTGACTGTGACTGTTCTGTTGGTGTGTGGATATGTGCCCAAAGATCAATGTCCCTCAACTAATTTCTGCCTCTGACAATGGCGCACTATCCACAGAATGTCAGCTGAAAAACAATTCTTACGAGACTTATCCTTCACCACAATGTCTGCCAAAAACTGAAATCTCCAATTTCAGCCCTTCAAATAAAATTCTGAATTAAAAATTATTGTCCAAGGATGAGCATTGAAATGAAGAATACAATCAAGGACGGAAAAGATTCTGAAAGTAATTAGTGTGTCATGAATGTGCATGTGCATCAAAATTTTAAACGGAATGAAATTACAATGATTTGTGGCTTTCTACGAAAGAAGTTATTATTATTATTATTATCACCCAATAAACTAGTTCGTGCTGGAACCACTATGAGAGAGTAGATAAGTAACTCAGTGATCGGTATAAATCTTACTGTTTAACCCGCTTTGTATCTGTCTCTGATTGAGATTGCTTCGCATAAGAACCTTCCCTTCTTTCCGAGGCACCTCTAAGGTCTTGATTAGACTCTTGGTCCTGCTTTTCAACAGCTGCAGAGACCACATTTTCAGTCTCCCTCGATCCAGGTAAAGACCTTACATGAATGCCCTTGTCCTTTGGTGACGGAGCACTTCTCTGGTAGTTAACCATCTGCATACCCGAGTCCCATCCTCTAACTTGAGGCCTTGCAAATGCATTGGTCTCGCTCTGGCCATCTTTCGGTTGCTCAAATTTCTGACCTCCCCATTGAGGCATTGACCCACCACTCCTGTGCCTATACTCTTCCTTAGCTAAACTATCTACACCAGAATACATAGAATTGGCATCCAGGTAAGCAAATGAGTCACTCGATGATCGGCGATGAGCTCCTCTCTTCACCGGTGTCTCTGGCTCATTAAGGAGATCATCCAACCAAGAAGGTTGCTCCTCAATGAGAAAACTCTCGGAAGAAGTACGCTGATGGTCATAGTCACCATAAGATGGAGAAACACTTGGAAATGGACATTTTGGGGGAAGGAAAGATTGTTTCCCCGCGGAAGCCTGGTTCCTGAAGTTGGCCACCCCTTTCATATTTGACATGATCTATACAAGGTTATGAGCAAGCAAGCACCGCATTGTTAGAAGCTCAACATCGCTTATTTAGCTCAATGCTCTATAAATATAAGGTCCATATCTAATTTTTAGGGAATAACAAATGTAAACACAAATGAAAGTAATCAGTGTACAAAGATCCATTCTTTGGCAAAAAGAAAAGTAAAATAATGCAAAAGATCCACAGCGAATAGAATCTAAACAAGGAAAACAAATGCAGATAAAACTTTATTAAGTGCGCACTAAGTAACGCATAAAAATTCACATTTTTAAGCGGAAAACGGCGTCAAAAAGCAAATCTTTTCACTGGTTATGCTAAAATTTGTAAACAGTGAAGTAAAATCACGATCTCAAGAGTGGAGCAAGCTCTAAACAAAGATTGCATCAGTTATTCTAAAATCTATAAAATTCAACCGAGATTGTTTCAGATTAGTACATAGAAATTCAAAACAAACTGAACCGAAATTGGCCAAAGAGAGAGAACGCGCTTACCAGATCGACCCCCTCCTGCTCAAAATTATTCTATCTGAAACCCTAAGTTGGGTATTTTCGCGCCTTTTTTTTAGCTTTTTTAGGGTTTCAGAGAGGGAGGAGGAGGAGGAGGAAGAAGATGAAGAGAGAGGAATAGTTGACGAGTAACCCAAATTATCGTCAAAATCTCGCGGGGTTTTGGCGTCTCTTCACGCGATTAGCTGTTGATTTCGTGTCGACTCTTTTTTTTTTTTTTGTATATTGCGGGTTAATCTACTATCATTTTACTTATTGCATAATCATGTCAAGAACTTGCATTTTTTTCCACACCTGTTGCAATTTTTTACGTGAGCTTTTGCTTTTTCTTTCTAATTTATATAGGATTGTTCCCGTTAATTGGTGGAATCATGAGTAAGAAATAAAAATTTTAACGGCAACATACAAATATTTGATGACGAGAGAAATTAGTAAAATGCAACAGAAAAAAAATCTTATAGCCAGTTTAGTATTTTGAATTTCCACTTTTTTTTTTAATTTCATATTTGACATGGTAGCTAATAGCTAGCTTTACAAATATCTAGTAAGATAAACAATAGCATAATAAAAACATGCCTTAAATCTTCTTGGATTCACTGTTGGTAACCCTTATTTTCATTGTCAATTAATTTTTTCCCATAATTTGAAAATCAAGATATCAATATCATGAAATTTGTGGGAAAAAAAAGAATTATAATAACAACACTATTAATTTTACAACATTTCTATGCTGCAAAAGAGAAAATTGCGGGGTGTATTTCTATGCTCGTCATGAGTTTATTAATACGTGAATATAATCTCACACTTGATTATATGATAAAAAAGGAATAATGACTTTAAAATAGAAGTTAAGGTTAACACCCGGATGCTATAGTTTTTGGATTAAAATCAACCAGTGTCAACACCGTGCAAACCACGACATATTTTTTCCCCCGCCGATCACAAAACGTGCAAAAGCCATTAGGGACTTTTTGGTTCCCTGCTTTTAAGGGAAAGACTCTCTTGAAAGCCTGCAAAAAGTACCAAAAGTGCTAAAAGTATCACTTTTTGGCTGGTTTTCAAGCGAAATTGCCTCTTTTAGAGGAAAAGAGGCGATTTTGCTGAAAGCTTACCAAAGAAGTGATACTTTGGCAGACTTTTAAGGGAAAATTTTTCTAATCAAACTGACCCTTACATATCCGGCACCAGAAAAAGGCCTTGGCAATCTTTATGCAACTGTCAAGTCTCACTATCTGTATGTGCAATTTTGGCGAGGCAACCAGCATGACAGCCAAAAAAAAAAATTTAGTACAGCTGCCTGCCACCCAATTGGGTAGAGAGAGATTGTCCTTTTTGCCAATCTGTGTTTTTTGTGCTCAGCGCTTCGCTATTGGCCAGCCTCCCTTTGGTTCTCCTGTTGTTTTTGATTTGTTTAGGGGCTTTGTGAAGTTGTTATGAGTTGATGACAACCTAGCTTGCACCAAACCTCTGTGCTCAATTTACAAATTGAGGTGTGTTAACCTAACTGCTCCCTTAAATCTTGAAACAGATAAGATGGCTAGAGAGAGATTATGATGTTTGGTTTTAATTAATAGGGGTTTTTGCATATATATATACCCCTCAAATCTTTTATATTCGTAAAGCCGCCCCTCAAATCTCAGCGCCTACAAAACTGCCCCTCGAAACCGGAATATTAGGTCTCTCTACTGCTCCAACATAAGGACACTGGTTTTTAAATCGGACGGTGTCAAAATTCTCAATAATTTCCAATAGATTTGCGGGAACCTTCCGTTTGAAACCTAAAAATTAGGAAATGGAAGGGGGTAGAAAAGCCGATGTGGGAGAGGGGGAGGGGCCGGGGGCAATTTCACAAATATCAAGATATGGAGAGTAGTTTTGTAAATATGGAAGATCGGAGGGGCACGATGCAAAAATCTCTAATTTATAATATGTTCTAACATTAAAGTTTAGCTCTTGCCATCTTTGCTTTAGGGCATGTTTGGTTATTTCCTAAAAAACCAAGAAATAGAAATGAAAACAAAGAAAACTCAAAAAGTACAATTTCATCCATTTCCATCCATAAAACTCACCCACAATATCTAATAAAATATTATTTTTATCCAACAACTCATCCACCACATCTAATAAAATATTATTTTCTTCCAACAACTCATCCACCACATCCATCACATCTAATAAAATATTATTTTCATCTAACAACCCATCCACCACATCTAATAAAATATTATTTTCATCTACAACATCACTCAACTCATCTCATCTCATCATTTCAAATCACTCACATCATCCAATAAGATGGTGACAACTCATCTCATCTCATTAACATTTCATTTCCACTCATTTTCTCCCAAAAAGCTAGGAAAACAATTTCCTTAAGTGTGGGTCACATCATCCAATAATATAATGACAACTCATCTCATCTTATCTATTTTCTTATTTTTAAGTATGAACCAAACAAAAAAAAAACAACCTATTACAAGAAATAGGTTTTTTATTATTCATTTTCTTATTTTTTTCGCCAACCAAACAACATCAAAATAAGTTTTCTAAAAATCACTCACATAATCCTATAATAAGGTGATAACTCATCTCATCTCATCTCCATTTCTTTAATTTCCTTCTTTTTTTGGCAAACCAAACACTCCTAAAACAATTATTCTTAGAAATAGTTTTCTATTTCTTTGATTTCCCAATTTTTTTAAACAAACAAACAGACCCTTATAAGACTACGAAATCTCACATTTAGATTTATCAGCTCTTTCTCTCCTCCAGTTGGGCTTGTGGGCTGGGCCTACATTTACACGGCTACGTGTCAGCTAGAGAAAGAGCATATAAGAATCCGGCCATGTGAGTTCTCATGCTGGGCCTCTTCCACTACCGAATTTAGGCCATGTGTTTTCTGTACATTTTTTGCAAGTTTGGTATTTTTCAAGCTCCGTCGACATTTTGAGTATTTTTTTTCCCCGATCTAAATGTGCAATTAGAATCAAAACTTCACGCTCAATGGTAAAAAAGAGTTGCGAAATCTCATGTGATGCTATTAGTGCTATCTTTATTCACGAGGAAAGAGCCAAAAAGATATATCGGACATTGGTATCGAGATAGTAACCATGCATCAGCTTATGCGCGCAAGAATATTGAGTCCACTACAAGAAAAGAAAATTTAAGAGAAAGAAGGTAAAGTCACGGTATTACCTTCAAATAGAGTGGAGAAAAATGTTGAGAGGCCAATAATTACTAGGAATAAAGAGGCTGCTCTTTTTTTTCCTTATCCGAATAGTGAAGTTGCTGGTCTAATTGCACATTTGGCTAAAAAACGCCAAATCTTTGCCGAAACTAGGAAAAAATACCAAATCATACTCCCTTTGAAAGAGGAAGTGTGAGTAAAACTCTCTATAGACAATTTTACCCCTAAACCTTATTTATATTATATATTCTGATTCTAATTAAATTAACTTTAAAAAAAGTCAATGAAATTAATGCCTCATTATTTTTTAGCCTTTACCGGTTCATCTCCACATCTCCTCTTTTGTCATAATAACATCATATCTTCACTAAAAATTCAAAATCTCTCTCTCTCTTCTCTTTCAGCACTCAATCTCCATACCTCTTTATTTTAAAAAAAAAATCAAATACGACTCCTCTCTCTCCATATCCACCCGAAATTGACTCTAAAAAGCTCCTACTTTCAAATACCATTAACACCTCAAGTATTTCTTCAACAGTACATTGATCTGTATCGAGCCCAATCATTCGCCTAATCCCCCCTCCACATTGCCCCCATTCATTTTATTCTTTGGCCCCGGTTTAATAGTAAGTTTGAACTTTTTCTTAATTTTTTGGAAGATGGAAACCAAGTGAGATTTTATGCTCTCTCGGTTTCCCAATTCAGAACTACATAAAGATGCAACAATGAGTCAATATATTTTGGAACCCACCAAATTTTGCTGAATACTTTTAACTTTTTATTGGGATAATATAATTTGCAAACAACCAGACTAGATATAATTTGTGTACAATTTATTAATTAATTTGTACATGTCATACATAGTTATTCAATTTTTCACACTATACCAAATATTATTCTCAGTTTATAAGTATATGGACAAAGAATTTACATGTCCTGTCATACTAGGAATCCTTCTGCATAATTGTTTTTTTGGAAATTCTTTATCTTTTAAAGAAATTCTTGGTCTTTTTTGTATAACTTTTTTATATCTGAATTCACTACTTGTAATTTTGGTTGTTAAGAGATTGAGCCCCGAACTATAAAAAAGGATGTAGCTTGTGAGGAATCAGTCTAGCCTGTCCTTGTAGTCATGTTGAGTTGATTGGTTGGTGTCGAGATCGTGATTCATATATGCATAACTCGAGTTAAGACTATATATTTTGTAGGTATATTTGAATATATTTAGTCGCTATTTTTCTTTTGTGTGTGGTTTCATGTAATCATGACTAGATATGTAAAAATATGTATAGTGCTTTTATCTTTTTGTGGGGATGAAAGATACTCTGTAAGTTAAGAATGGTAGTATGGCTATTGGCTAGTGTCTTTTAGGGCCCCTTTTTTTGTTAGAAGAAGTATATATGAAGTTGTATAGTATTGATTAATTTAATGGACTATATTTATTGCATGAATCTACTTATTGTTTTACTTTTTCGGTAAGTATGTTTGAATATGTTTTATCTTTGTTTTCTTTTGTGTGTGGGTTTCATGTAATCATGGCTAAATCTGTAAAAATACTTATAGTGCTTTCACCTTTTTGTTGGGGATGAAAGCTACTTTGTAACTTGGGAATGGTAGTATGACTGTTGGCTAGGCTCTTTTAGGCCCCATTTTCCCCCTAAAAGAAGTATATTTGAATATGCATCATATTGGTTAATTTAATTGACCATATTTAGTGCATGAATCTACTTATTATTTTATATGCAAATTTTTTATAGAATAGTATAGTTTACTTGAGAATATAGTACCATAATTTAATATTAAATCAATGAAAGAATTTGGTTAAAGAGGATGAAAAAGTGGTCTCAATATTCCCAATTTACTTGTTTGTTAATAATTGGTAATTTAATAAAAGTTGTTTTAGAATAAGCTCATTTGGGCACTATAATTTTCAATAATGATGATTAATAGCTTATGAGTCTAAGTGAATTGATACGGCTAACAAGTTTTGTGTGTTTGCATAAGATAAAAAAATTAGAATCTTAATGAGATCACTCTATTTTAATGATTTTTTTCAACTACTAAATTTTATTTGTTCTCTGATTCGTGGGCAATGCTTAACTTCTATTTGAACGATCAATTGATAAAGGTATAATATACAGGGTGTTACCGTTTTATTTAATTATTTTATATTCTTATAGTACAGACCCTTTTATAAACAAATCTTATCAACATTTAGTTTCATCATTTGTATTTATTTTTTTATACTTAATCTTTATGGTTCCTTTATATTTTCCATTCATGTAGATTTTTTGACTGCATATGGGTAATTATAAACTATTATGATTTCCATTTATGTTTTTGTTAATTATTAGAAGAACATGATATTTAGATCTGTTGTTGCATGAAGGGATATTCAAAATGCTCTCCAGGATTTTTTACAAGTATTGATCTTACCATTTATAAAAGCATGAGTACCAAGAAACATATATTAGCACATAGGCATTTAAACCACAAAGAAATTCATACGCGAAGTAGTTTTAGTTGTTTTATATATAGAGAGCAACGTAAAATTTACATGTAGAATAACTCTATAAAGTTAGTTTGTTCTATGAAAAATAAAAATAACAATTAACATAAACAGAAAAATCACTATAAGTGTGTCCAAAAATATTTTTATAAAGAATTATGGTTTTAGTAAAATTAATTATACGTTTAAATCTAGAATTTTAATAACAAAATTATAAGAAAGGCAATTTTTTGCAAAATTTTAGAAGAGGAAAAAAATTCAAAAATGTTATTTCTAAGTCCACAAAATAAAGAACATTGTTTATAAAATTTATGTAGTCTTATAAATTTCAAAAAATTATTTTGAAGCCAAAATGTAGGGTTTAATAAAATACACATCTTTAGATTTATTATTTAACCCCTATTTCAATAAATATTATTTTTTTCTATTAGAAAATCCTAAAAATGGTGTAAATCAATAGTTTTTTTCTTCAAATGATTAGAAAGTTACTAGGAATAATTATTCATTTTATTGAATTAAAAAATTTATGTATGATGCATAATTATAGGATTCGTTGATGATAAAACTACTAGGAGTACATTTCTCCAAACAATTGAGAGATATTATTCAAGTGATTAAATATCATCTTGTTACTTGTTATAATTTTTTAATAAAAGTGTATCAATTATATGTACTGCTAAAAAAATATTGAATCAATTAGATTGATAATAGTAGAATATCCATTGATTTAATTGCAAGTTCTTTGCAATCTCGGCCTCAAAATTCAATAACAGCAAATCAATCAAATGACCATCCATTCTAATTCACATGGATTTACTTAGCAGTTTCAATTAATTTCACTTTTAATTTGCATACTAACATTATTAACACTCAAACCTCTTCCAAATGCTTAATTTTAGAAGTCACTTTTTCTCATATTCTTTTTCACAAAAAAATTCAAAACCTAAACAAGCGATAGTACATGTTTTTAGATGGATTTTATTATTATTTACAATGTTATTAAAATACTCCAAACATTATTATTTCCTGTGAAGGCAAGAGTTTGAAACCAGCAAGTTTATACACAAAGACATCTGAAAAGTTTTAATATATTTTAAACTATTTGCCAACCTAATTATAGTAAATAAAAAACTCAAAAAAAATATCCACGTGCATCTCACCTAGTTGATAAGAAAAACGGAAAGGAAGAAAAGTTCACAAGTCTGGTAAGAGCTTTGCTATAGTGACCCAAAATTTGGGACCAATAGAGGGGACAAATGAGGTGTCCCCCTCCTATTGGATAATGAGTTGACCATTATTAATGATGATCAACTCATTATCAAATAGTAAGGGGACCGCTCACTTGTCCCCCCTATTAGTCTCATATTTTGGGTCCTTGATGAATTTTTCGTCTGGTAATCTATCTGATCGATATATTTGATTAGGGCCAACAAGGCTACAACAAAAACACAGATCCAATTTGGGCCGGTTGAGGTGAACTCAGACCCGACCCAAGCCCGTTTTCGTTATCGGATTGAATTCGCTATATACCCACTTTCTCTTTCTTGTCGCCAAAGAAAACTGTCGCCCCCCTTCCTCCTCCGCCGCCTCCTCCTCCTCCTCTTCTTCAATCGATGACGTCAGCGGAGGACGTAGAGCGGATCTAAAACCCTAACCCTAACCCTAGAAATCGTCCCCTTTTGTTTTCGATCTGGTTGTAGCTTCTTCTTGTTTCAGAGCTGAAGGAGATCGCGTCGCTGATCGAGACGGGAGCTTACGCGAAGGAGGTTCGGAGAATCGTCCGCGCCGTTCGTCGCACCGTCGGGATCCGCCGTCAGTTGACGGCGTCGGTGGTTTCGTCGTTCGTTTCTTTTGCCCTAGGCTCTGGATCTGAGGCTTATTCGAGGCTCTCGTCCTATCTTCACAAGGTATAGCAATTTTGTGGATTTGATTTGCCTCGGATTTGTATGGATTAGGGTTTAGAGCCAAAGAGGGATTTTTATGCTGTTATAGTTGATCATAATTAGTAACTTGATGGATGGAAGTCTCGAGATTGATTGCTAGTTGTTAAGGTGTGAGCTAAGATCAAACAGTCGGAGAGTAGTACGCTAAGGGGGCAGTGGCTCGAACATGGAAAGATAAGAAAATTTTGAGCTGGTATGGACAAATATTTTGCAGGAGTATGATTACTTGAGTAGCTGATTGTTACTGGTCCGACTAAAAGCTCTGAGTTTGCGTGCTGTCGAGTAATTGTTTGAGTTATCTGCCCTTAAAATACCCCAAAGTTTAATCCATGTTTAACTTTGATGCCACATCGCTTTCTTTTCCCCAAAAACTGCCCAGAAGTTAACTCATTTGTAACTTTGAAAACCTCAAAGTTTTCATTTGCCCAAAAAGTATCCCACAGTAACTCAAATTTTAACTTTTATCACCGGAAGTTTCTTCTTGCCCACAAAATACCTATAGTTCAAGTTCAACAAAATTCAACTTAGATTCCCCAAACTTTAACCAAAAATTAACTTTGATACCCCAAACTTTAACAAATAAATAAATAAATGTAGATAAAAAATTCAACTCCAGTCGTTTAGGTAATAAATTTTAATGAACTTTGGCGTATTTTTGGGCAATGAAAACTTTGGGCATTGAAATCAAGTTCTGTTGAATTTCTTGGTATTTTTTGGGCTCAAGAAACTCTGGGGGTGTCATGGTTAAAACTGATATAAAATTGGGCTATTTAAGTACAAATAACCCTAATTTTTTATGAAACATTTGGTTAGTGTCCCCATGTAGGCCAAAATTGCCCTATAGGACTTTTGTCCAATACCAGTTCGGCATTGATTGGTTTCATATGTGACGCAGCACAGAAGTAGTAGCCTCGGAATTCACCAAGGACAATCTTTGAATCCACAAAGAACTTTGAATCCACGAAGAAAATATTAAAAGAAAAATTTTATTGATGAAAAATTATTATTTTCTTTGGGGTTACATGTCTCTTCTTAAATAGAAAAACAAATAAGACTCCTAGTAAGACTAGAATTATAAAAAAATAGAAAGTATCAAATTCTATCCTAAAAAGGCTTCCTATAATAAAGGAAACAAATCATGAATCAAAATTGATTCAATTGAATTTGTTTCCTAATCTAATTTAACACTAAAATTGAATTTATTTCCTAATCTAAATAGACTCTAACTTTATTACTAAAAATAAACTAAAGACTGATTATTTTTAGATTTCAGCCAAAACTGGGTGTAACTGATGATATTTTAAAAATCTGACTATCTAGTTGACCCCGTCTCGTCGTGATAGGCGATTTACATATATAATATGTTAGAATCCGTCTTCTGGGTTGGAAGATATGATTATTTTTTACGGAGCTCAATAATACGCATAAATCTGTATTTAGCTCGTGATTATCTGCATCCCCTATGAAATTGTCAGTTAAGCGTCCTACTTTAGTCTCCTCATGTTGAAAGAAGCTCGACCTTGAGCTTATATTTACTTGAATAGTAAATTCATCGATAAATATCTTTCTTAACCTACAGCGATCAACATCCGTCTTATACTTAGCATTGATTTTCTCCATTTGTTCTTTTACGTTCTCGGATAGGACTTCTTCTGAATCAAATTCATATATTATTCTTTCCGACATCATGTGTATTTTATTGGCGGCATGTGGATGTGCAGATGACTTCAAAAACTCCACAAAATATGGTTCATGTTGCTTCTCGTATTCTAGTGCTTGAAGTATCATCAAATTCTTTTTAAAATTATCCACCAACTTTGCTTCTAGGGAAGAAAATCCTGCGTCATACTTCATACACAATTCTTTCATCTCCTTTGTCGCTAGTCCTTCACCAAGCAATTCACACATATCATCAATTGTCCCACTCTAATTTATCCTTCTCCTCCATCGGGACAACACCAATATGTGTAATATCACTCTCAAACCCTTTGAGAATATCATGCATATCATCCATCTTCACTATCATATCACCATAATGAATGTCATGCGTAACGATTAGGAGGAATTTCCGTAGGGGCATGTTCTTCTTTCTTAGTTACAACCAAGTCATAGACCTCTTTAGATTGCTTCAAATTTTCTGCTAAAGACTCGTTTGCCACCAAAGGTTTCTTCTCCTTAGTAGCTTTTATCTTAGATGACTTCTTTTCTGTAAGAGGCAGAAGTACAATTCGGCGTTCATCTTTCTTGAAGATATAAACATTGTCTCTACTTCTGTGGGTAGCTCCAATATCGAAGTACCATGGCCTACCTAAAATTATATGACAAGTATCCATCTCGACCACATCACACAACACATCATCAAAATACATGTGACCGATAGAAAAAGGTACACGACACACCTCATCGTTTTGCACATCATTGCCCTTGTGAATCCAGTCGATCTTGTAAAGAGGTGGATGTTTCTCTGTCTTCAAACCTAATTTATTCACCATACGTCGAGAGACAAGATTCTTTCTACTGTAATTGTCAATAATAACATCACAAATTTTCTGTATCACAGTGCACCTCGTGCGGAAGATATTGTGCTCTGGAGGTGATTCTTCTTTCTTTATTGCTTCTTTAGTGCTCTTCCCAACTCCAAGGCCTTGCTTAGGGTCATTGTCGCTGTTGAATTCATTATGTGGAGTCGAATCACGTCGCTGGCGACCATCAACGCAATTTCGAACTCCTCTCGTGTTCAAACGCTCCACTACCGACGCAAGTCGCTCTATAGCAGTCTTCATCTGATTAACACTGGTCTTCAGCACGTCGAACTCAGTTCGAGAAATAGGGGCTTCATCACCTGCCATCAGATCGGAGGAATAAGGCTCTGATACCAATTGACGCAGCGCGAAAGTAGTAGCCTCGGAATCCATCAAGAGCAATCTTCGAATCTACGAAGAAAATATTAAAAGAGAAATTTTATTGATGAAAAGTTACTATTTCCTTTGGGGTTACATGTCTCTTCTTAAATAGAAAAAAATAAGACTCCTAGTAAGACTAGAATTATAAAAAAATAGAAAGTATCAAATTCTATCCTGAAAAGACTTCCTATAATAAAGGAAACAAATCATGAATTAAAATTAAATTTGTTTCCTAATCTAATTTGACTCTAAAATTGAATTATTTCCTAATCTAAATAGACTCCAACTTTATTACTAAAAATAAACTAAAGGCCGATTATTTTTAGATTTCAGCCAAAACTGGGTGTAACTGTTGAGATTTTAAAAATCTGACAATTTAGTTGGCTCTGTCTCGTCAAGATTGACGATTTACATATATAATATGTTAGAATCCGCCTTTTTGAGTTGGAAGATATGATCATTTTTTTTCGGAGGCCAATAATACGTATAAATCTGTATTTAGCTCGTGATTATCTGCATCCCCCATGAAATTGTCAGTTAAGTGTCCTACATCAATATGTGAACATTGATTGTTTGTTTCAGTTTGCTTTTGGTGCCTGTCTTTATTCTTGCCAGCTGTGAGCCAGTTGATGCTTTGTTATTGACTTCAGTATGCTCTTGCAAGTTTCTAACTTCGTTTATTGTTGGGAGGCATGATGTCAAAGAATATCTATATCTTGGTCATGTTGATGTTTGATGTTGACATGAAACTGGGTTACACCTACGTACCTTATATCTGAATAGTTGCTACTGTGGTTATTGTCACAGGTTTATATTTCTCTGCCACATTGTGCTTATCACCTCATGCAAGGGTAGGCTACCATATTAGATATCATCTTGTGTGACTAAACTGGAAAAGGTTATAGAGGAAATCTCCGTAGAAAGTAAATCTGTGGCTACTAAGTGACTGTTGTCCTATTGTACTATGAATTTTGATGTTAAGAGCATTATTGGGAGAGTTCTTCAAATAATCTGATTGATTCATCATGCTCCTTTCATCTAAACTTGAAGCAGAATGATCCCCAAAGCTATATTCATGAGAGCTCTCTATCCGATGAGATGGGGGGAAAAGGAAAAAAAAAACCATTTAGCTGAACAAGCATCAAGAAGAGGATCTGAAGGCAAAGAAGATGGAAGTATGGCGGATTGAAACATGAACAATTCTACAATCATTTTAAATGGGTACAAATGGCAAAAAAGGTCTGAAACCCAGGATTAGCCAAAAAGAATAGTGGGAAATAATTTTATGTTTAAGTTGAACTCTTTATAATAACAGAAGGAAAAATTTTGCCGGAAGTTCTAGGTTTCTCATGTAAAATCCCGCCATGGTTTCATGTGCTTCTCTATGACATCATACTCACTTGCATGCTTTCTGATCAAGTCTTTCTGCTTATTTCACAGATTTAAGTTAAACTTAACATGTATGTCAGTTTTGCATGTCATATGAAATATTTGCTGATTTGTTGTGGCAATTTTGGATTCAGGAAGATGACCATGATATGGATGTGGATACAGCAACATCTGCAGTTCAAACTCCTAATAAGCATCCTGTTCCGGAGGTTGAGATCTATTGCTATCTTTTGGTGTTGATATTTCTGATTGACCAAAAGAGATATGATGAGGTAATTTCTTTTAGCTTATATCTTCTCTCAGATCTTTTTTTCTGACATGAAACTAATTTTTCATATTAGCGTTTGTTACCTTGCTCTTTTCCAGGCTAAAGCTTGCTCTTCTGCTAGCATTGCTCGCCTTAAGAACATAAATAGAAGAACTGTGGATATCTTGGCATCTCGGCTGTACTTCTATTATTCGTACAGCTATGAACTGACAAACAATCTTGCTGAAATTCGTGGGTGAGTTTCTACAACTCGGCCTTTCAAGAAAAGCATGAAATAGTGTTTCATAATCTTCGTTGAATTGCTTTAAGTGTGACTTGAACATTGTTTTCTCCAATATCAGGGATCTCCTTGCCTTGCACCGCATGGCCACCTTACGTCGTGATGAACTTGGTCAGGTATGTTATTTGTCTGGAAGAAGCTTCTATAACAACTTGTTATACATGATTGGTAGTTATTAACTGGTGATATTGCAGGAAACCCTTCTTAACTTGCTACTTCGTAATTATCTCCACTACAACTTGTATGATCAAGCAGAGAAGCTAAGGTCCAAGGCACCCCGTTTCGAGGCACACTCGAATCAACAGGTAATACTCTTCATATTCTCACTTGATTTATTTCCCAGTCCTTGTTATTTAATAATGGTGACACTAAGTGATGGCTCTTTTCTTGCACTAACCTTGGCTTTATATTTGACAGTTCTGTCGCTACCTATTTTATTTGGGAAAGATTCGGACCATCCAATTAGAGTATACTGATGCAAAGGAAAGCCTGCTACAAGCTGCCCGAAAGGCACCAGTTGCAGCTCAAGGCTTCAGAATCCAATGCAATAAATGGGCTATTATTGTTCGCCTTCTGCTTGGTGAAATCCCAGAACGGACCGTCTTCATGCAGAAAGGCATGAAGAAGGCACTGACACCTTATTTTGAGCTCACAAATGTAAGAATCTTTCAGCTGAAGTAGAAAATTGTTTTGTTAACAGTTGTACAATCTTGTCAGCTAATCTTTATATACAGCAACAATAACAACAAAAACCTTTATCCCAAAATTTTGGGGTTGGTTACATGAATTTAATTTTCCATTCAATTTAGTTCTATTAATGGTCATCTCCTCCAGTTAGTTAATTATTATCGTACTTTCAACCAAGTTTTACCTATTTTGTCTATCTTCTGTCAATTTTTGGCTCATTAACTATAATCTTATCATATCTGTTAACTAGTGCATGCCAGAAAAAAAATACTTCCTTCTAGAGACCCTGGTATAAGTTCTATCCATGTACGTACTGATCGCCAGATCACACTATGCTAGATCTAGCTGCATTCGACTGGAATTGGGGGAGATTTGACTTTACTCTTCATGATGCTGTGGTAACTTTCGTCAACTTGCACCGGTCTGATATGAATCAGCGGGAGTAATTAGTTAGATACATTGAATTTCTATTATAGGAATATTTGCCATTCATTTAAACCAGATATACCCGCATATTCATGCATTTATGCAGATATTATGCATTCGCATGCCTTTCATTTGTGTTGATAAAAAGCCACATATTGTACTATATTACACTAAACAAATATTTGTAATCGCCTCCTCTCTAAATGACCAAATCATTTCAATTGATTCTCTCCCCTTTAATCACCAATTAATGAACTCGCTTCTTATCCAATTTGTGTCCACTTTAGCCGGTCTTAACAATTGTCCAATTGCGACTCTGCAGGCTGTGAGAATTGGGGATCTAGAGCTATTCAAATCTGTTGCAGATAAATTTTCATCCACGTTCAGTTCTGACAGAACTCAAAATCTCATCGTAAGACTCCGCCACAATGTGATCAGAACCGGTCTCAGAAACATCAGCATTTCATACTCTCGCATCTCACTTTCTGACATAGCCAAAAAGTTGAGATTGGATTCACCAAATCCCGTAGCGGATGCTGAGAGCATCGTAGCCAAAGCAATCCGAGATGGAGCAATCGATGCGACTATTGACCATGCAAACGGTTGGATGATATCCAAGGAGACTGGGGATGTGTATTCTACCAATGAGCCCCAGTTCGCTTTTAATACGAGGATTGTGTTTTGTTTGAACATGCACAATGAGGCGGTGAAGGCGCTTAGGTTTCCTCCGAACTCGCATAAGGAGAAGGAGAGCGATGAGAAGAGGAGGGAGAGGCAGCAGCAGGAGCAGGAGATTGCGAAGCATATGGCCGAAGAGGATGACGATGACTTTTGAGGATGAGAGATTTGGCTAGTTTTCCTATGTTTTATTGTTTCATGTGTTATTAACTTTGAAGGAAGATGCTGGTTTTTGTTTATGGTGTGTTTCAAGTTAAAAGAAGATACTGAAGAAGGCAGGGCTGTAGTTTGACCGCGCTCTTTTGCACTGGCATGATGATTTCCTGTACTTTTGTCTTTACTTTTATTTTATTTAACCTGCTGCCCTTGTGCTTGAATGCTATTGAGCTGGAGTGTTATCAGTGCTTGTAGTTGGGACGGTCAGATGCAATTGCAGCATGACGAAACTCCTTCAGCTACTGCAGCTGCTTTTACAAATACAGCGATATTTTATAAAGCAAAGTCCGTATCTAGGCTGAATGCCATTATTGTGTAGTAGAGGCTTAAATGCTCTCGTTTCCCTAACTTTGCACTTGTATACCCTCTTTCCTTTTTACGCTTACATAACCTTGAAAGTAGTAAAATTCACTTATATACCTTCACTTGTTTTTAGTAAAATTCACTTATATACCTTCACTCGTGTACCCTCTCTTGTTTACACTTACATAATCTTGAAAGTAGTAAAATTCACTCGTATACCTTCACTTGTTCTTAGTATAACTTGTATACCGTAAAGTTTTTAACGCTTACACTTAAATATCATAATTTTTTTTTAAAATCAGCACTTAAATACCCTAAATATTTAAAACTTGCACTTAAATACCGTCAAGTTTGCATATTTGAGGGTATTTTAGGTGCAAGTTTTAAAAAAAAATTTAGGGCATATAGGTGCTACTTGAAACAAGTGAGGGTATAAAAGTACAAGTTTTATAATTTTTAGGGTATGTAAATGCTGCCAAAAATAAGTGAGGATATGTAAGTGCAAATTTGGGAAAACTATGAGGTATTTAAGTGTAGTTAAGCCAATTAGTAATAATCAATGTTGAAGTTTGTAGTCAGGAGACTTACTTTTCCACCAAGGATTCTCCAACAGTTAGCTTAGCATCTCAATGTCGGTGGGAGGGTCGTTTTTTTTCTTCTTTTTTCTTTTTTTCTTGGGGCATAGTCTTGTTATATTACCAACATAAAGCCATAAAATCACACCCGAAACAAATAAACAACATAAATATTCTTTCTTTACTTTTTGGCAAAAACCCATCTCAAATGTTTGCTCTTATTGATAGAAAGACAATACAAGTAGTGTACATTATTATTCCAATACTAAAAATCTCGCATGAATCCCTGACACAGTGTCAGAAATGTGTCAGATTTCACCCCAAAACGCCTTTTTTTGGGGCGATTTGGAGTGAAACCTGCCACAGATGGGACACTGTGGCAGGCTTTCCCCTACTTTCACCCTAAAAAAAAGGAACCAAAAAGCCCCTTAGCATCTCAATGTGGGTGGGAGGGTTGGTTTTTTTTCTTCTTTTTTCTTGGGGCATAGTCTTGTTATATTACCAACATAAAGCCATAAAATCACACCCGAAACAAATAAACAACATAAATGTTCTTTCTTCACTTTTTGGCAAAAACCCATCTCAAATGTTTGCTCTTATTGATAGAAAGACAATACAAGTAGTGTACATTATTATTCCAATACTAAAAATCTCGCATCTTGCGGAGCGCCTCAATATTTAATGAGCAAACTCGTCATGGAACAGCAACCAATGTAACTGTTGTCATGGGTGCAGCTCAGCTACTCAATTCCCATCGACACCCGCTGGATTCTGTATAAAACCTTTGATATCAAAAGCATCAGCTGTAGCCTTTGAGATGACGCCCTGAAATCAAAAAACCAACAAACTAAATGTGTTAATGGCTTCAAACGTATTTGCTGAAAATACGAGACAAAAAACGAGTACTAAGAACAATAAATACCTTCTCTGTGATGATACCACTGATCAAATTAGCGGGTGTTACATCAAATGCAGGGTTCCAGACATCGATACCCGAGGCAGCTACTTGCTTCCCTAACCCTCCCTCAGAATTCAATATTTCTTTTGCCGATCTTTCTTCTATAACGATTTGATTTCCGGACGGAAGTGAAAGATCTATTGATGTTATCGGTGCTGCTACATAAAATGGTATATTGTGGTGAAATGCACAGAGAGCAAGGCTGTATGTTCCAATTTTGTTTGCAGTATCACCTAGACAATAGTTTCAAAGAAAATGAGAAGTCAATAATTAAAAATTGAGGGGGTAAACAATAAATTTTCCGAATGTACCATTTGCAGCAATGCGATCAGCACCGACAATGACTGCATTGACTCGTCCAGCTTTCATCAATGCAGCTGCTGCAGAATCCGCTATCAGAGTTGCAGGAATTTTTTCATGAACTAGTTCGAAAGCTGTTAGTCTGGAACCCTAAAATCATTTGAACGAGTTTATTCAATGATAAAGGAATAATTGATAGTGTTCCCAAAACAAAAAGGGAAAAAGTAATAATAGATAGGTATAGACATAAGCAAGTGAACACGTGAAAAGAGTAATAATTATCAGTTGATGTCAGTATCAAGCACATAAATATGTGAAATTACCAGAAAAACAAATGAAAAGGAAAACATAGTACCTGGTTAAATGGTCGTGTCTCAGTGCAATAAGCCCTTTTTAGGATACCTTCGGAATGGACTGCACGAATCACTCCAAGGGCAGTTCCATATCCAGCAGTGGCCAAACTGTTGACATAAGTTCATCAGTGAAGAACTTATCACTAATTCATAATTTGGTGAAGACCGATAAAAAAGTGAGAAAGTTAACCTGCCAGTGTTGCAATGTGTTAAAATAGATAGGCTCTTTGAATCTTTTTGTAGGGTTCTAAGAATGCTTGCTCCATGAGACCCAATTGCTTTGTTGGTGGTGACATCGTCAACAAGCATGTCTTCAGCAGCATCAATATAACTCTGAAACACAAACACAAAAGACGGATTAGTACACAATTATATGAGCTGATGGAGAAATATACATAGGAATTAAAAGATAATGTAGGTATTTCTTCAAAAAACTTATCCCTCAAAAGATCCATAGTAGTTATGTCCAGTCAAGTCCAGTCCAGACTAAGATGTAACTACTATTTCAATATGAAAATGATACTTGACATCAACAGTGTCAAGAATATCATATGTGAAAGTTTCAAACAAAGTACATCCACATATATTTGAGCACATTGCTGTCAAGGTGGGACCAAAGTTCTATGTGAATTAGGTAATTCTACATTCAATTTTTCATATGAGCTATGAGTTTCGTTTTTAAGCTGAATGGAGGAAACAGGTTTCTTGTAAACCAACGTGGATTAAGGCTTGTAGGTGTTGCAAAATTTGGTTCAGATCTTTTAAATTATCAAACGAGCGAGAATTTTTGAGTGATTCCCAGCCAAGCACAAGCTTACCCAAGCCAATTCAGATCAATGAGGTTATTTCTTGTTTTGACTTCTTTTCTGGAGAAGTACGCTTTATTTCAAGCTCATGCTTGGCAGTGGCCAGTGAGTACCTGTGCTCAGCGGTGGCCATTGAGCTGATATTGTCTTAGTGGTGCATGTGCATATTATTAGTTAGTTTGTACGCCAACAAAACCTTTATTTCAAAATTTCGTGATCGGTAAAATATACTAGTTTGTGTTCAACACAAATAATTCATATGCATAAAATTAACCAGAAAATCTTTATCTCTAAATTAAATATATAGTACCAGTTATATCGGAAAGATAATCCCAGAGAGAGATTGCCATGGTTTATATACAAGAAAGCAAATATGATACAATTACATAGTTTTACAGCTACAAAAGCTTATTTAGTTTCTGGTTTCAAAGTGGAACTACAAAAGCTTCCATAGTTTCTGGAATATATTAACTTCTCCAATAGTACCTTACACCTTCTCCTAATTAAGAGTTTCCTATAAGACTATAGAAATTATCAGAGCTAGACTTTTGTTAATATGGACCAACTATGTTTCCCTTTCCCCTTTTCTGTTTTTTTAAAATACTTTTGTCCAATTAAGTCCAAAACTTAATACAGACTCTCTGTTGTCTAATTATAATGTCATTATCTACACATCTTCTAGTGCCTGTGATTGCATGTGGAAGAACATGGGTGTGTGCACATACAAGCTTGTGTGTAGGTGTGAGTGCGTGCCAGGTGTTACATCCGTGTATAGAAGCTCATTTACACAGAATATACCTAACTGGAAGCGTTCATAGAATGTCGCTGCATCAGCTAATACTGAATATTCGACACCAAAATTTTCACCAAAAAGCAGCTGGTCCCTAGAATAAAAAACTAGTTCTTGATACCATAAAACACACCTGGAAGATAATTTTTGCATCAATAGATGCCTCAGCAGTCTTTGACACCAGATTTTGAAGCTTTGTTGCAGCATCAGAAAGATTAACAGCAGTAGGTCGGCTACGAAACATGGAGCATAACCAGGTGATTAGAAGGAGTTGTGCTAAAAGGTATGTATATAAGACTGAATCGTAACAATTATGCTGATAAATTCTCAAACTCAACACGCCAACTTCTTTTTATATACCTGGAGACAAGGTATTGCAGTTTCTTGACAAGGAAAGAAGCTGCATCCCCAGATGTCCCACTAAAGTCAAGGTTAGACACTTCTACAGCTAGTGACAGTGCTGCTGCTATTGCGATTGCAGGTGCACCGCGGACCACCATATCTCTTATTGCGTTCCTGAAAAATGCATATAGTTCAGAATATAAAGAAAATGAATAAAAACAAAACATCTGAATGATAAATTGTTACCAATATCATGTATATTACAAAAGATAAAAGGTAAAACCTAGAAGCACATACTCTAGAAGTTGCAAAAAACTGATTCCTAGGTTGAACTCCAAGCAATAATTAATGCTACTTGAAG